GGCTTTTTTCTTTTTTGCTTATGTGGTGCTGAGGAATCGAACCCAGGGCCTCATGCATGCAAGGCAAGCGCTCTACCACTGAGCCACCTTCCCAGCCCCCGCACATTTCTTTTTAAGGGACTTCAGGACAGGGATTTCTCAGAGGCATCAGGTGGTTTCTTTTGCCCTTTTTCCCTATGGGGAAGGGAGTCTCAGCTGGCTTTTCTCCCCACCAGGACAATCCTGGGACAGTGTGCTCTGCACTCAACTTTTGCCAGTCTCTGCAGAAACACCTGGCAGAACTGAACCACCAGAAACAACTCGAGGCCAATAAGATTCCAGAAGTGGACTTGACTGGAATGGTGGCTCCCTTCATGGCCAATATCCCACTCCTTCTGTACCCTCAGGATGGTGCCCACAGCCAGCCCCAGCCAAAGGTGAGTGAGTTAATGACAGGGGTGTGTAAATGAATGACAGAGGAGGAGAGATAGTATGCACTTCTAAACAGAAAAACTGAAACTTGTCCAGTCCCTTGACTTTGCCCCACTCCCACCCCTGCCCAGGTGATTGTACCATGTCATTTCTAAAGAATGTTTAAGATACATAAAGCTCTCTCCCCATCTTCTTTTTGATGCTGGGAATGGAGTCCAGAGTCCTACATAAACTAAGCTCTACCATAGGGCTATAATCCTTCATCCCTTCTGCCCATATTACCATAATGAATTCTCAGGAGACCAGAAGCCTAGCCTGGAGAGCTGTGGCCCTGTGGGTTAGGTGCCTTCTCAGGAGCCCAAGCCTTGGTCTTTCTTGGCACAGCTGTATCCTAACTGTCTTCTTCGTAGTCTAACGGAGATGTCTGCCAGGACTGTGTGCACATGGTGACTGACATCCAGACGGCCGTGAGGACCAACTCTACTTTTGTCCAGGGCTTGGTGGAACATGCCAGGGAGCAGTGTGACCGTCTAGGGCCTGGCATGGCTGACATGGTGAGTCTTTTCTCTCTAGGAGTATAGTGGGCTTTGAAGAAGTAGGGATAGGAGAGCCAAGAATGCATGACCTCTTACTCAAGTGGTGCTGTGTCAAGCTCTAGCCAGCAGCTCAGAGGAAGAGTTGGTTCAAAGATTCCTTTCTTAAGCTTCTCTAAGTTAGGACTTAGAAGTTCTTTGTCAGTTGAATCTGGATGTCACAAAACTATTGGGACAAAATAGTGGAAGACATCTGTCACCATATGTGCTAGAAGCATACTAGAACCACTTACAAACTATCTCCTTAAAAGTGAGGCTGGCTGGGCACTGGTAACTCATACTTACTAAAATTGTAGAGATTCAGGAGGCTGAGATCTGAAAATCATGGTTCAAGCCAGCCTGTGCTGATAAGTCTTTTTTCTCCAGTTAACCAGCAAAAAGCTGGAAGTAGAGGTATGTATGGCTCAAGTGGTAGAGCACCAACCATAAGTGGAGAAGATTATAAAAAGCATGAGGCCTGGAGTTCAGTTCTCAGTACCAGTACAAAAAAATCCAAAACAAGCTGAGAGGGGTGCTTGTGGCTCACACCCATGATCTTAGCTATTCAGGGGGCTGAGACCTGAGGATTATCTGAGACTCCTATCCAATTAATCAGCAAAAAGCTGGAAATGGAGCTGTGGCTCAAGTGGTAGAACACTAGCCTTGAGGGAAAAAACTGTAAAGGACAGTGTCCAGGCCTAAGTTCAAGCCTCAGTATCAAGCATAGCTGATGTTGTCTATGTGCCTTAATTTTTTTTTACGGGGGTGGGCGTTGGTTGTGGGGCTTGAACTCTGGGCTCAGGCACTGTCCCTGCACTCTTCAGCTTAAGACCAGCACTCTACCATTTAAACCACAGTGCTACTTCCGGTTTCTAGTGGTTTATTGGAGGTAAGAGTCTCATGGACTTTCATGCCCTGGCTGACTTTGAACCACGATCCTCAGATCTCAGCCTCCTGAGTAGGTAGGATTACAGGCATGAACCAATAGTGTCTTATAATTCTAAGTGTGCTTCCACAGGAAAGGGGTTGTCAGGAGAGCTGGATTGTACAATATTTACTGAGAAGCCTCTTCCCTAAGTTGTGTGGGCTCAGAAGCCCATTTTGTTAGCCCCTTAGGTGGTTTCACTTCTTTGACCTTGTTCTCAGTATTAATCACGCTTATGAAATAATGTACAAAACTGAAATGACAGTGCCTGGCCACCTGAAGAACCTGCCTGACTGGCATGTACGAAGACAGTTGAAAGAAGCCTGTCCTCTAGGATAGAGCAGCTTTCTTGGATGGGAAGGGCTGGCCCTGGGGGGAAACCCCTGAGGGTTTCTCTGTCCACTCACTTTCTTTAGGGCTGGCAGTTGTGTCACCAGTCATTTATCTTTTACCAAGAAAGTTTGAGAAACTTGTGGCTCATTGAAGTGTATTTGCTATTGCTATTTTAATAATTTCATCAGCCCTCTTGATTTTCTCTCCAAGGAAGTGTCAATTGATGCAGATGCTCTCTGGGGGTTTACTGGAAATACCTAATTCAAAACTCTACTGGACTTAAGTTTTATAACTCTGTCAGAGAACGAATAAGTGGGTTTGAAAAGTAATCTAGGATTCCTAAGTAGGCTATCTTGTATCTACATTGCTACTGAGGGAGTTGCTGAAAGATCTTGGGGCAAGTATGGGCCATAAAATGGATACAGAAAATCTAACATCCTTGTATTTTCAAAACACTTTCCACAGAGTTTTTATGGAAGAAAGAATAGCCAAATCACTATTTTATCTGACCAAAACATACCCATTCTACCCTAGGGCATTTGCTTGTCAGTCACACACACATCTTATTGAAAATGCAGGTTGAGAGCTTTGTTGTAGTAATAAATTTAACTCAACCTGTTTTTGTCCTTCCAGTGCAAGAACTATGTCAACCAGTACTCTGAAATTGCTATCCAGATGATGATGCATATGGTAGGTAGCAGTGAAGACCCTTGTTAGCATTTGGGTTTGAAGTGTTTCCAGGCATTTAAAATGTTACATGTTTTAGCTTCCCCTTTTTACCTTAAGAGTATTGAGTTGGACAAATCCGGCCCCCCCCTCCCTCTCCCACTCCCCCCTTCCCGCCCTCCCAGCTGATCCTGGGTCTGCCCTGTGGTGGCCTGGGACCTGTTTGCCTGTGCACGTGCTATCAGATTGCTAGTGTCTGGCTATTAATGCTAGGGCCTGTAGAAGTAGTCTGCCCTGTCACCATGCCAGGCAGGGGAAGTGCTGTGGGGCAGCCTGTTTGGGATGGGGAAAGAGGGTCCCAGCCTGGCAAAGCTGGCTCTGTGTTCTGTAGCAAGGTCAACTGTAGTTGCTGTTTGACCCCCAGCTCATGCCTTGACATCTGGGCAGCAGATGTCCTTCAGGCCCTTGTGAGAAGTTGGGGAAACAGGTCACAGGAGTTGGAACTGGCTGATCAGCAGGCATTGGCTTCCTCAGATCTACCCTGTGGGACTCGAGTGGTAGGGTATGCTGGTCTCATGTTCTGATTGGCTGCACGGGCACTGATGGGCTTGAGTCAGTCTTTTTTTTTTTTT